CTCGCGGATACATCTCGCCATCACCGCGCACTCCGACCCGCACACCCAATGCTCTCCAACAAACGCTCGGCACATCTCATAGCAACAAATCAACCAATGAGGTTCGCACGTCAACCCCAAAGAGTGACCGCAGCTGGACCTCTCGCTCGAAAGAAACCACCGACGCTAGCTTGAACGCAGCAGCTGCTGCTAAAGCCCGCGCAATCGAGCGATCCGGGCCCCAAGCTTCAGAATATGAGATCGAAAGCGACACGCAATCAAGACGTGGCGACACTGTCAGCCCAATACAGAGCGAGGCTAGCTATCGGGGAGATGCGCAAACTACGGGCTCACCACGAAGAATGCACTCTATCCGTAGTGGACCTTCGGTGTCTTCTCTCGGCCACCAGTTCGAGCGAAGGGAGTCCAACCTCTCCATTGCATCACTCTCATCGACGACTAGCACAAAGGCAGCGGCACGCACCCGTAAGCGACCTCAGGGCGTTACTCTCGAAAGCAAGAGGTCTATCCTCAATGAGGATGCAACCACCAAGGACACCAAGCAATTCTTCGACCGCAACCACGAGAAGAACGATATGTACCGACGCGAACTTGAGGACAGCTCTGTGAACTACAACCGTATGACCATGTACACCGACGATAGCACAGGGGTGGAATACCTCGACCACGAGCAGAAGGTCGGTGATCTTCAGGACATTCGCAAGGTCGGCACGATTCCTGAATACGTCCACACACCACTGGCCGTGGAGTCTGCTGTCGCCTCCCTACATGACGAACAATCCACCCTCAGCGTTCGATCCTCAATGGCTACAAGCCCGCTCAAGAAGAGCACGCTCTCGCAGGTTCACACGAACCCAGCTTACGTCCAAACCGACGAAGTTCCTGCCGGCCAGAGATGGGCTGCCATCCGCGACAAGGCAGAAGCTCTGCAACAGGAACGGCGTGCCGAGGAGTCTCCAAAGCAAAATATCGCTCGTGAGAACTCTCCCAGGCAAAGCATCGCGCAGTCCGAGGCACAGTCTGAGGATGCCATGTCGATGGATGAACCGATACAGATGCATCACAGTGCCTACCCGGTTGGAGACAACGATATGATGCCTGAGATTGGTTACGGCATGGACGATGACTCGGATGTAACTACCAACCCATCGATCATCCAAGGGCCAATCGGAGGAGGCGATGGTTATCACGATCGTACCGACGAGCTGCTCAGCCGACAAGAAGAGCGAGAGCGTACTCCCACCTCTTTCAGCAAGGGTGCCCTCGGACTCGGAGCTGGAGCTGCTGCCATGGCCGCTGCTGCTGCTTACGAAAGAGAAGAGCAGCAGAGTCCGGCTTCGTTCGATCAACGACACCAGGCCACCGTAGAAGATGAATATGATCATCCCTATCCAGGTGAGCAACAATACGAGCAGTCAGGCTATGCGCAGAGTAACCGCACTCCTTTGTCAGGCCAAACCGGCTGGAAAGACGAGGGTTACCAGTCGGCTAACCAACGTGAAGCGTACACGCCACAAAACCGCAATCACTCAAAGATCTTTGATGATGACGGCTACGGTGATGAGTACAATGGCGCGGACCTTGGCAGCCCTGACATGTTTGCTGCTCGTGCCAAACATGACCGACATGTTAGTGGCAACTCACACGGCATGACTTCTCCTCTCTACGACGCAGCTACCGGCAAAGGCATGGACCGCATCGAATCGAAAGATATTGTGGCGCTCATGGATCACCTTACCGTTCGCGACGCCCAGCGCAATGCTCGCGACACCGAGATTCTCGTCACCCTTGTGCGAAGCGCTGCGGAGATGCGCAACCAGCTGGACGACCTGAGGCAGTTCATCAAGACCCAAGACACGATGATCATGAACACCACCGACAAGCGAGTCAACCTTGCCGAGCAACGCATTCTTGGCGGCCCCCGTCCTCAGCCCCAGACACCGCCTCGTATCAACCGTACCTCTTCAGACGATGATATCGAGACCAAGAAGAAGAACGTCTTTAGGCGTGCTCTCAAGGGCCTCAGCTCTGGCAAGGGAGATGGCGATATCAAGCACATCGAGCAAATGCTCGTTCAGTTACTTGGTGAGGTGGAGGGCCTGAAGCAAGTCAACCAGCTCTCGTTGGATCAGCAGGCAAGGACGAATAGTCTCAACTCATACGAGGAACTCCGAGCAAGCGGTGATGCTGGTTACGAGCCAGAGGGCCGTGCCAACACTGCCTCTTCGCCAGACCAATCTGGCTACTTCTCTAACCCTTCTTCTTCCCGCCGCATCCAAGATCTTCACTCTGGATACGATGTTGTACCAACGAACCGCATCAGCACAGTACGAGAAGAGAGCGACGAGGAGTACGAGGAGCGTACCCGTACCCCTGGCTACGAGAACACCGAGCGTATGACAACGCCAACCCAGGAAGCTTTCCCCGAAAAGCGTGCATCGCTAGGAACTCCCCCACAAGCTTCAAGGGCAGCGCGAAACTCGCAGAGCGACGACACTACGCCGAAGCGCAAGCATAAGTCTAACTCGTCGTCCATCTTTGGTATTCCCAAGATCTCGCGATGGTCAAAGACCACTACCTCCACCAACCCAGAGAGCCTGCCACGCAACAGCGGGTCTGGAGAGAGGCGACCCCACTCCATGCACTCCAGGTCTTCTTCCCAGGATGACTACTACGATGACGAGGAGCCATACGAGCAGCATGCCGATGACAGGCTTCGTTCCAACACATCCCTGGCTAGGGACGAGCAGCGCTCAATACGTTCTGCACGCTCTCCATCGCCTCTTATCCCAGAGGACATCCAATACGAGATGGAAGACCCCAAGTACCAGGCGCATCGCAACTCGCTGAACCTGCAGCACCCCCAGCCACGACCTGGGCCAACCGGTCGTCACCAGAACAACTTGGAGACCCAAGCGCAGATCTACAACCCTGTTCGCTCAAGCATAGGATCTCCTGACTACGACCAATGGGGTAGCATGCCATCGCTGGCACGCAACCGTCTTTCAGGCATGTCAGCTCAACAAGGTGCTGGCAACTTGTCGCCAATCTCATCAGATGGCTACAGTCAACACTCTGCTTCAGAGCAGCAGGCCGGCCCACCTCGGCCTCCCAAGATCGCGGATGACGGCCCGCTCGTCCCGCCACCACAGCTGCTTGCTGGCTACGGCCAGACAAGGCAGATGTACAGCTCTCCGAATGAGTTCGGTAGCCAGGGTGCTTTGACACCGCTTGCACCTATTGCAGAGGTGCGTTACTCACTCGAGACTGACCGGGGCCATCGCGTAAGTTGAGCTCGCGCCTCAGAAGAACTGAGGACGAATGCTAACATACGCAAAAAGATGACGCCCACTCCCTCGCCTCGCCCGAGCAGCCAGTACCTCCGTTCCGAGGCTAGCATGAACAGCCCGCAGCGCAAGATCACGGGCCCCAGGCCCATGGGTAGCAGGAGCCCACAGCCTCAGAGCCCGCTGCAACATTCGGATACTGTTGTTCGCAGGAAGCCGATTCAGGGTGAGTTTTTGACTACTTGAGCGTAGTTGAAGATTTTTTTTTTTACTAACGAACATGGCAGATGACGAAGAGTCTCTAGAGAGCTACCGCAGCAGTCTCGACTCGGAGATTTTCTAGGCGAACAATCTTCTCATGCCCGGTATCGTACGCAGCAGTAGAACAAGACAGACTGCGGTTGCTAGCTGGGTGGAGAGTAATGGGCAGAAGGGCGACGCTCGGTTTCTTTCTCACAAACAACACAGGTCACCGCTTAGGCATGTGACGTTTGCTGAAGAGTAGGAAAGAGCAGAGAAGCAGTAATAATGGGGGATGTTGCGAGAAAAAAACGTTTTCCTTGGTTGTATGATGGGCTTCATTCGCTTCCGCGCATATATCACTTTTGCGAGCATGGCGTTCTTTTACATAGCGGTTCTCTTTTCTGCAGACATGAAGTTTTGAAGGGAGTCTTGAGTGGCCGATTCATTCATGAGGGACGAACTTCATGGCTTTATGAGAGATGATCACGGCGTAGTTAGGTGTGCATAGCTGTGCGCAAATACAGTATTGTTTGCCGGCCCACGATGTTTCACCTCATGGTATTGCGATGACACTGAGCGAGACGAACCACTCACAACTTCCGCAACATCAACGACCTAGACCAAAAGATACTCTCACGAGAATGAGAGAAATCGCAAGTATAAATATACTGATGTTCTTAACATTTCATTTCATTCATTTTCCCACTAACTAGTGGGGGGGTTTCTCATTTCAACATCTTCGTTCCTAAGATTCCTGGGTGGGTGGGGGAGGCGGAGGGGAGGTGGAGGGGAGGTGGTGGAAGTCTCTCTTCTTGTGTGGGCGCTCGTCCCGTGATGATTTGATTGCAATGGCTTTGAGTGATACTTTAGGTGATTGGGTGTGTGATGACTCTGATTGAGGTCGTCTTTCTCCCTCCCCACCCCACCAGGACGCACGGCGTATTTATGTGTGCATACTAGTACAAATGCATATTGTTTGCTAGCTCACGATACTCTTTTAATGTTGGTGCGTGCGTCCTGTGTTGTCCCACGATCTTTGTCGTCATACGCTGCGGATCTGGTACCTGGATGTCCACCTCTTCCACCACCTCCCACCCCACCAGCACGCGACCAACACGGCAAACCTTTCCAACCAAACCAGAACCCCTACCGCATTTCTAGATTCCCGCTCATAAGTCTCTTTACTAATCGGCAAGACTTTTCCACATGTCGAAAGGATTCTCATGTCTCGGCCCGCTGTTATGAGGTCGTTGTGATGTCATCAGGGTCCACCACTCTTTCATCATCATCGATGAGGTCTGTGGTCTGAAGCTAGCAGTTGTGTGTACAAAAGGTTTATAATGCCCCTCCTGTAGTTACCCCTCCATTGCATATACACACACTTTCGACTTCTTTGATACCCAAATTCCACGTTTTCACCAATATACACTTCAGAACAACAAGCTACGCATACGATACATATTTGAAACGATGTCTGCCGAATACAAGAACACCGACGTCAACGAGATCGCCAAGAAGGCTGAGCAGGACCTCAACAGCCAGAGCGCTGTTCACGGCCACAATGCTGGTTTGAGCAGTATGTCTTTCCCTCTCCCTTCCCATCCCATCACCCTTAACCTCCTTCCTCCTCCCTCCCTCCCTCTCCCATCCATCCATCCCAAACCCCTACTAACCCCCCCTCCAGCAACGGAATCCGGCGTCGACACCGCCAACGTCGAAGGCAAATTCCCCGGCGCCCAAGTAAAATACGGCTCCGCCGCCTCGGGCGCAGGCAACAACCGCGAGATCCCGCTCGACGAGGGTGGCAGCATCAAGGCCAACGGTCAGCCTACCAAGGCGGGTGACTTTGCGCATGGTGGTGTGGGTGCGCCTGAGGAGAGGGATCAGACGTATGTTCACACGCATGGTGGGGATGATGAGATTAGGGGGAATGTTAGGAACTAAGATATACTCATGCGTTGGCGTGGAGTGAATGAATGAATGAATAAATTAAGCAAAAGCTTGGAAGAGTTACGTTTGAGGGCTTGTGTATGTTGTTGTGATGTGTGAGGTCCCCTTTGGTTTTCCATCTTGTGCTCTCCTAGTTTGCAACACTTGGATCATGAAGGGTATGTATGCGATCGTACGACAGGTCTTCCGTCAGCTTGTAAGTTATTCCAAAACGTCGCTCACACGATAGTCACCCTTTCAATCACAAACTCATCATCCAATCGTCGAGATACTTATCATCCTCCATCTTCCGAAGCAGCCCCTCATACTTCTTGCCTTCCCTAACACCCTCATCCAAATTCCACGGCAGCTTATCACACTGCTCGACATCCTCATAAAACGTCGCGCCAAACTCTTCCAAAATCTTACATCGCTCCTCCATAGTTCTGCAATACGCCAAGTCCACCCAGTCTTCGGGCTTCCGGGGCGGATCGTACTCCTCCAACCATGATTGCGAGTTCTCGGCCCATACTGCTAGGACCCAGAGGCCTGAACCGTTGGGGGTGTAGGCAACATGTAGGTCGGATGGGAAGTGGTGACCGTAAGGATATGAAATTGAACCGTAAGGATATATGCCGTCTCTTGTGTGGCGTTCGTAGAACTTGAGGGATGGCCACCAACGCGCGCCTAGGTGGAGCATACGTAGTGCGAACGCGTCTTCCTGCTCTTGGTCGGAGAATGGTCCTGGGTCTGACATTTTGCGTGAGAGTTCAAGGTGCTCCAGCTCAGGGTTCGTTAAGTTCTTCATGATGATACCGCCATGGGATGGGTATGAATAAACCGTACATGCAGTCCTCGAGCTGGAAGTCATTCGGGCGCGTGTTTCTTGTGAGGCTGACATATCCGAATGACCGAGGCTGCTGTCCAAAAAGAGTCTGGATGGGTTGATACTTGGGTAGGTACTTAGCAAAGTGCAGCTGAGGATCAGGCAGCGTTCCTGAGGCGGCTGACGCCGCAGTTGCTACGCCGCACGCTCGCAGCCATGGCATTCTTGATGCGAAACAGCTGAGTCAATTTTCCCGTAGACGCTGACAAGAACTCCATATTACAGGAAGTACGTGTTCACATCCCAAGTCGAAGTATACATTGCTTTCTACACGTGTCCATTGTTGGCGTACAGCAACAATGTATGCAGTAACGCGACTCAGCCTCTTGTCATCTTCCACTGCATTCTGGGATGCCGTCCTCATAATCATCTCAAGAATCCTGTTGTTAATGGCGTTGCAACGACGTCGCAGTCCGGCTGTTTGTGCAACCGACTTTTCATGCCGAGGTCTAGCCGAACCCATGCGCGCAATGTCCACGGGTCATTCCGCTCGGGCCTTCCTCCTGTCTATTTCGAACCATCCTTCAACACCAACCATCACACCTTCTCAACTCAAGCATTGCGCCGCGAACAAGCTTTCGCAAGCTAACTTGGCAGATGGAAAGCTTACTACCCTTCAGGTGTGCGCGCCGGGCAACACCTATCACGAACTTCCTATCCCGTACTAGCACCACCACACCAATCCTTGCCAAGTCACACGCCAACTGATAAGCAACGACAAGCTTCTGCTGCAGTTAATTTATCCGGCATATCTACGCTATGGGAGCTTTCCGTTGTTGCATAGGGTCTTTGGACAGTAGCGATTTCGAAACTCGATGTGGTCGAGAGCCGAGGTGCAGTGAGAAATGCCATCGCGCAGTAGGGCTGATGGAAATTATGAGGAACTCAGGGAGATCAGATCTACTTCGACACGAAGAGCATGCGGCATCTCCAAAGATCTCGCAATACGGTCGAGCATCGCATCTCCCACCACCTCTTTCGCTTTCGCTGTCGAATCTGCAAGAGAGCGTTCGGGCGTTGTCCCAAAAAGGCAGGAGAACCTGACGATGCAAGCACGACAACCACGAAGTCGGACATTTTCACGCACATGTGGTCGAAGTGACTGTGATGTGATAGGCGGACTTCGTCCCATATACCAGGAAAATCACTTATCAGGGTCTTCTGATACCTACCGAGTCAACACACAAGCGGGACTGTCCACTCATACCCCTGTTCAGTCCGGTAATTCGCCGATCTCTTGGTGAAGAGGCCCTCACCAAACGACCTGGGCTACCAATCAGTAACTCGTATCTCGGCGTTCGACCTGATGGATCTTGTGAGCCGCTTTCCAGTCCAGCATGAGGGCGAATCCAGCTGGATAGCTATGCGCCTGACCAGTAGGTATTAGGAAGGTATCATCAAGTGTTGGATCTGGACCATCGCGCCATCGTATAATGAGTATGCCTAGAGGTATACGACATGAAGTACGAGTTCGAGCTGGGAAGTATATAAAGAGTGTTGAGCACCGCTGGTAACACTGCACTCATCAACGCAGCAATCGCTTCAGCAGTCTATCGTTCTACTCTCAACCTCTTCCCTCGCTTCAACTTCATCTTCAGTTCTTCAAGTTCGTCCCATCGTTCAATATGAAGCTTTCGATCGCTATCCTCGCCGCCGTCACCGGCTCCGTTCTGGCCCGTCCCTCCTCCCTCGCCGAGCGCGTTCAATCCCGTGCTGATGGCAGTCGCCGTCACAGGACCCAGCCTATGATTCTGGTCGGCACGGCCGCAAAGGAGAACGCCAAGTTCGTCGCAGATGTCGACAACACCACCGCCCACGTTGACTACTCCTCCAACTGGTCCGGTGCCGTCCTCGAGACACCCTCCTCCGGCTACTTCAAGTCAGCCACTGGACGTTTCACCGTACCTACCCCCAAGCACGTTGGCTCTGGTGGAACCGAGTCTTCTTCAGCCTGGGTCGGTATTGACGGAGATACCTGCGGCAGCGGTCTGCTTCAAGCAGGTATTGACTTCACCGTCAGCAGCTCTGGCGCTGTATCTTACGACGCCTGGTACGAGTGGTACCCCGACTACGCCTACGACTTCAGCAACTTCGCCGTCAAGGCCGGCAACGTCATCCAAGTCGACATTGTCGCTACCTCCACCACCAAGGGTACGGTGTCACTCACTAACGTGAGCACGGGAAAGAAGGTCAGCCAGACGCTTAGCGCACCCAGTGGCTCCGTTCTGTGCCGTCAGAACGCAGAGTGGATTGTGGAGGACTTTGAGTCGGGAGGTAGCTTGGTTGCGCTGAGCAACTTTGGTACTGTTGTCTTTACGCAGGCAAGTGCTAGCCTGAGCACTGGTGGAACGGATGGGTTGAGCGGTGCTACTATTATTGATCTTAAGCAGGGTAGCACTGTTTACACTGATGTTACTATCAACAGCGGCTCGCAGGTCACTGTTCAGTACATCTAAGTTGTGAATGGTAGGAGAAGAAGTCGTGGTCTGAAGGCTGCAATGGCGTCTACAGGATACATGGACAAGACTACATTAAATAGAGGTTAGGCGGTCAGTCGCGGATAAGCGGAGTCTGAGGACGACATAGCAATGAATAATGTGCATATAAGAAGACCCAGCGTTATTGTACACGTGAAGGCCCTTTGTAAACCTGCAAATCACACCTATCTTACTATTGTAGCATGTAACGCGGTTGACGACTCGTTCGGTCATTGTATGAATGCATTCACATTGTTTTCTATCTACTCCCGATCAAAGCTGTCGTGTAGACACTCTGAATGCATACAGTAAGCCCTCCCTCAATGAAAGTCCTTTCCGTTCCGTCTTGAGTCGTTCCTAGAGTGTGCCTCGAATGATATCTCACTTCTTGGTGCCGCCGCTCTGCTGGCCAGCGTTGGCGTTGCGGTCTCCGGCGCCCTGGGCGCGAGCAGCGAAGCCACCGGAAGACATGTCGCCGCCGCTCTTGGCCTAAACAAAGAAGGATATGTTAGCGTCGGGAAAAGCGTGTGGCTCGACGAGACGTGATAGACTTACTTGACCAGACTGAATCCTACTCGCATCGCCCTGAGTCATTGGAGTAGAGCCCTTGGAGCCACCGCCGGTGTTGCCGGAGTTGTTGTTGTTACCCGACATGGTGGGAAATGAGGTGATGGAAGCTTGAAGTAGTCGATTTTGTAAAGATTGATGATGAATGTGTTGTACCGTTTGATGATTGCAATGACTCAATTATCTGGGTGCGAGAGCGTGCTTTCATATCGTTGTCTTGGGGGGCTTTCTTGATCACTGATGCTGTTGCCGCGGAGCTGGTCGTGGGTACATCGGCTAGCGCATGTAGTACAGCAGCAACATCATGCCTTTGTATATTGAAACGAAAATGAAGACGCCAGGGTTGTCTACACCGCTCTTTGATATGTCGGCGGTTATGCATGCTTCGAAGAGCATGTGAAGTGATGTGCCCAAGAGACCAAACACGATATCCCCAGCGCTCTTGCCCTTCCATCATGTGCGCCGAGCGTACCTACCTAGAGAGCTTTGCTACATAGCTTGGGAAACTTCCAAACTCTCATGATACTTCTCTACTCAATACTTCAGACTTCCTACGCGACATTATAACCGACATCATAGCGACGACTGCTGCTTGTGAACATCTCCGATCGACACGCATGGTGTAGCACAATAACCTCGATGACGACAACCAACGAGAATTGGGCGCGCAAAACTGCATCTTGCCTTCCAAGTCTGGATTCCTCGCCGTTCTCATCGTACGATCCTTGCACAAAGCGACACATGAAGCATTCTGCCGACGGTACTGCGCCCTGATGGATCGGTATCACAGTGATGGGCATGACGATGCAGATCGGTGCAATGGCAACGGGAAATACGATGGACACGCCCATTCTCGATATCCAAGAGCTCGTTCGACCTGCGATCTGCGCGGTTAGTAGTATGTCAAGACCAGTACGTTGATCAAAGCGGAAGTCTCTTCTGATACTTTCCAACCGCGTTTTTGTACTGTTAAGATACACAGCAGGAAGTATAGGCTTGAAGTTTGTTGTAACGACCTAGATTATACGAAGCCAGGGTCGCATCAAGATCGAGGTTACAATCTGCTATCGTCAGTGCAGCGGTTTCGTGCAGGATGTCGACAGGAATTTCCTGACACAGGCCATGGAAAGGGCTAAATTAGGTAGAGACTAAGTAGATGGTCGCGGTTGAGTGTACTATAATAACTACATGACCACCCCGCGTAATGGATAACAGTCATCAAATACCTACCTGCATTATACATTCTGATAGAGGACGTACATTTGAAAAGCATTTTCTTCAATGTAGGCGTTAAAGTCATTTAAAAACTTCCAGATCAATCTTCTTTTGCTACTGTAGTCTGCAATATATTCGGGATTTGAAGGGGAAAGGAAGAGATGAACGGCTTAATCGATATGATATGAAATGCATTCACATTGTTCTGTTAACCCGCAACGTCTGCCATAGCTACGACAAAAGTATATCGAGATAATACATATCGTTGCTAGTTCAGCATAGCCATGATCTGAGTGAACCGCTTCTACGCGCTCAACATCCAGCTCCGATATCCACTCGTCACCACGCTCCTGGCTCTTTTCTCAAGCCTAAGCCTGCTCTGCCGCCTTGCGCATACGCTTCTCATGCTTCTTGTGCCTCTTCTTCGTCCTCTTCGCATACTTCTCCAAAGTCGCAATACGGTTCTTCGCCCAGTTGGGACCGGCGTCGGGAGGCGGGGCTGTAGAAGGATAATACGGTTAGCCAATACATCGTATAGAGTAAGCAAAACGCAGCAAGAGGACTCCTTACTTCCAAGGTCTCCTCTAAGCAGACGTTCCTTCTCGTCCTCTCGACGCTCATGCTTCCGCTCGAAACGTTGGTGACGGTGTCCGGGCGATTCGG